TGAAATATCAAAATTTTCTAAATTCTTTAAGAATAAAAATAAATAAAATAATTTTGAAAATGCTAAGAAAAAAGTTGAAATATCAATTTTTTCTTAAAATGAATTTTTGAGAATAGTTAGGAAAATTTTAAAATATCAATACTTTTCTAAAAACTAAAAATGAAACTTTCAAATTTTCCAATAATAGAATTACTAAAAAGTTGGGGAAGATATTATTTTCTAAATACTGCTAAAATATTAGAGTATTAAGAAAATTGTCCAATATTAAAGATTTTAGTAAAAAATAACTAACAAAAAATATTTGTTAGATTTGATGATAGATTTTTTTAAGAGTGTTAATAGATGTCTTAAATACTCTTGAAGTAAGAAAATATTCTTAAATTTATGTGAAATATCAAGGTAATTTAAGATTAATTTTTTATATTAAATTTTCTTAAATTAAAAAAAAAACTGTTAGGCTTGATGGATAATACAAAATCGATATGTATCATCTTCGGATGGGCGTTATAAGGGTGTTATAACATTTTTCATACGTAATTGTATTTTCAAATCCAGCTTTGATTCACAAACCAAAATTTTTTTAAAAATAAATCTTAATTAATTTTAGGATTTATTTAAAAATGAGATTGGTGGCCAATCACACTAAAAAAGATTGGTAGTGACTTATATTCTTTATGTCTAGCGATCAAGTCCCCAAACAAATACATTATGAAATCTTGGCGACCCCATTAAAGACCAAAAGAGTTGAGCTAGTAATTGATTTTGTCTTATCAAGGCTTTTTTTTAACAAAAAAATCTTTTTTGGTTTTTTTTTTTTGAATTTCAGTATTTTGATTTCTTTTATTTATTGATTTTATTTTTGTTATTTTAATATTTTATCGTTCATGCTGCATGTGTGTAGCATGAACTCTGTACCAAGGTTCTGTCCCTTTAGGAGGGAGTAGAATACTTATGCTTTGATGAGATTTTAATGTCTTTGTAATGTTGCTGAAATAGTCCCACTTAAATTGAATCATTTTTATTTGTAACTTGTCATGAGTAAGGATCAGATTGGAGTGCCTTGTTAATCTAGCATAGATGACAATGAGGAACAATTTTGGAAACTTTTAACCTATATCAAATCCTAAACCCTACATATAATGCACCTTAAAGGCCAACCCTAGAGAGAGTCATATTGAATTTTTATAGAATACATCTTGATTAGGGCACATGAAAATGCATTGTTGTATGTTTTTTGAATTTCCTTCCTAGTTTTATAATTTATCTATCTGTTGTTAAATTGATTTCGTCTAGGATTGCATAAAGTTTTTATTTCAATAAAATCAATAAAAATAAAAACAATAAAATTACATCGAAAAAAGGGTTATTTTCTTTCATTTCATTAAAAAAACAAAATGTTTTTTTTTTTCTTTCAAATTTCTTTTAAAAAATACAAAAAAGTAAAAAATAAAAATAAAAATAAAAATTTTGATCGCACTACATGGTAAATACTTTACATTTTGCGTAAATATGTTCATTTCATATGCATCGTAAATATTGTTGTATTGCAAGTACATAATCAATGATGCGAACACATGATTTATCATTGAAAACATTCTTGTATTGCATATCATTAATCATGTGTACATAAATGTTGCATCATCTTTGTAAATACTTTACTTTCAATCCCATTAAAGAGGGGTACGTCTATCAATGTATATTTTAGACGGTAAAATTCCTTTTTTTTTTGTTTTAGAAAAAAAAGAAAGAAAATTTTGGTAGACTAACATTTTGCTTTTTTATATATATATATATATAACTCACATTAAATTTGAATTTTTGACGTCAATAAAAGAGGCATTTCTTGTTTAGGTTTGCATTTTGTACATGTTTGACATTATACTTTGACATTGTATAAATTTTTAAGAAAAATAATGTAATGATTCTCTATATGTAAAAGATGGTTTGGAATAAAAGCCTAGCATAATTTGAATTTCTAAATGATGAGAATAAAAAATTTTTTGTGAGTCTCCAAATAATTGGTGATCATTATTGGAAATGAAATTACCTTAGATATCAATATTTTCACCAAATGCTTTTTGATTCAAATCCAAAATAAGTCTAATGCTTTGAAAATCATGAGTGTGAGCTGCATTAACCTAATTTTCATGATACCAAAAAACGAAGCTATTATATGGGTAAAGAACAAAATAGACTCATTTTGAAAATTCATTTTGAGTTTTGGGTATTCAACATGTTACTTTTTCAAACTTTTTAATTGGTAATTAAATGAGTGTCAAAGTTTTGGTTGAAATGATTGAACCATTCGAATCTTTTTTATAACCATAGACATGAAAAATACCTGAACTTTCTCTTTCAAGTAGTTCTTATTCCACGCCTTAAGGCACATTAACCAAAAAGTAAAATTCTTTATTGCCTAAGACAATTTATCTCTTGCCATGATACTTTTTCCTTAATTCTTGCAAAATATGCCAAAGCTTTTTATTCACTTCACAATGAAATTTGAGACATCTGATGCAACATGACTTTCATTATTATATGAATTCCCGTTTAAGTAGGTAAACAAGATGGGGCATCAGTCATGAAAAATTAATTGATGGTTATATCATGCACTTAAGCTATTCAAATTATTATAAGACAAAACATAAATTAAAAAAAAACTAAAAAACCAAAACCAAAAACAAATAAAAACAAAAAAGCTTTTTTTAGCCCTTCTTATATAACTTCCCCTTCATTAATGACTTACTCTTAAATTGAAGTGATCATTTTTAAAATGATGAATAACCATCTTTCTCTATTATTTACATATAGAAAATTGTTCACTTGCTACTCATTTGAGTTTATTAAATTTCTCTTTTCAAAATGAACCTCAACTAAGGATTTTCTTCTATACCGAATGGCAAAGTAGGGACATCTTCAAAGATCATGGGCAATAGAGCCAGACTTCAAAGAAAAATATCTAACATTGAGATATTTTGACATGTACCTTGAAGATGGAAATTGGGGCAAAAAGTGAATGAATTAAGCTTTAAGTTAAAATCTCAAGGTAAAAAAAAAGATGAAATTCAAGAAAGTAGAATATTGGAATTGAAGTCAAATGTTTAAAAAAAACGTAAAAAAAAAAAGAGATACTTGCCTTTTCATCCAAAAGAAATGCTCCATAGACATGAAATGATCCTTGGTCTAATTATCATTATAAATATATTTTGGGCTTATTTATCCATTCTTTCAAAAACTTGAACTTTGGCCTACATTACATATTTTAAAAGTTTATTTTGATTAAATGTGGACACTTGAATTGAATAGCTATATCTTCGAAAATTTGTATTACCTATTATTGATTGGAGAGATTTTACTAAGTACCTTTTTGTTAGAAACTTTTGTTTAGTGTAAATCTATTGAATGTTAGAATGCATGATAACACCAAATGTAAATCTAAGGTGAAAACCCTAAAAGGGTAGTTTAAAGTTACAATAATCATTCTTGATGCCTTAAAAGAATTCTAGAGTTTTCAAAGCTTTATCCAAAAGAGAAATTCATGATACCCATTACAGATTTTGCATCTAGTGAAACAGGAAAAATTGAGAGCCAAAACTGTTTCTCTTTCAAATCTTTATAAGAAAATGGCTAGTTTTGATGCACATTAAAATATCATGTTAAGGAATTGAAAAAGTGTCAAGCCATGCTTGATTTTCAAGAAAAAGAAAATGTGTTTGAAATATTTTTTCTTGTGAGCCTAGTCAAAAATGGAAAGGGGTATAATATCTTTTTCATTACAA